GAGAGAGAGAATAGAGAGGGAAGGGAGGGACAGGGAGAGAAAACAGAGAAAAAGTAATCATTGAATAGGTCAGCCTGTTCTTTAGGAGTGGAAGCAGTTTTAGAACCATGAGAGACTACAGGGGGAATGAAAGACTGGTTAGTAACTGATCTAATATGACTGAAAATACGAGCTTTAGATTTATCTACAACAGACTGATTGATGAGAGAGGAGACATAATGTGCCTCCGCCTTAGTAATTTCATCACCAAGATTGGACTCTAACAAAGACACAGACTTTATCCTCTCAGGAGTTGGATTAGATCGGCACTTCCTACGAGCAGTCCTCATGCAATTTAGTTTATGTCTCAAAGAGCTATTAAACCACCGAGGGAGGTAGGAGTGTCTCTTAGAAACAAATACCGTTGGGACAAACTTATCGATAGAGGTATAAATGGCAGACAATATCTCGTTTTATTAATGAGCCACACCCCTCTCCTCCTCTGCAAAAATCAAAATGGACAGACTTCGTGGAGTGGTAAGAATAAAAACAAGAAGAACTCTCAGTAACTCCCTCATTATCTCCACAGGAGGCGCTCTCTGTCGTATTCAAGCGGTTCTCTGACGGCTGTGAGGTCGTACAGTGCATCAGTGACTTCTACAAAGTGAAATATGAAACAAAACAACACTATTGTCTTTAATACTCATCACTATCTTAGGATATGTCGGAATTGGAGCATTATTATGCTGCTCGCGTCCTTAAACTTTTGGAAAGTGCAAATTATACATTTCATTCTAATATCCTCATGCAGTGGCTTGGGACTGATCCGTATCATGAGAGTGGGTACGTTTAGTTTGTGGGTGTGACTATAATGGTAGTTTGTGCTCTGCTATCTCTCATTTGTAGGACTGTTAAACAATGCTGGAATGAAATGGGAGATGAGTTGAATAAGCTAGCAACACTTCATGCAGAGAAGGTATGCATGTGCATATTGGCAGCCATTTGGGGGTGTATCCGCTCTCTTCCCTTTAACTCTCTCTCCCCCTCCCTCCTCTTCCTCTCTCTTCCTTTCTCTCTCTCCCTCTCCATATCTGCTCTCTGATTCACTACCTAATAATAACAATTATCTTGAAGCTGTTTGGCTTTCGACAGAATTTCCTCATAACAGGAATTACAATGTACACATGTTTGTGTGTTATTTTAGCAAAAAATAAAGGCGCCTCTTAACCCATTGCTTATGATTTGCAGCCACACTTAATCAAGTTTATGTAGCTATAACATAAAACAAAACAGCAGAATTAATTTGTACTGTACCTACTGCTAAATGGTAGGGCGAGACTATGTACATGTACCTACCAAAAATTACTGAGTATAAAAATCGAATTATTGAATTATTACAAAAATTATATTTTCTATCACTTGCATCTTTTTGAATTAATTTTTTATTGTTACATGCTAGGCTGAGAGTTTTTCTGATATCGTCCGTAAGCCTCTCATTGATATGTTGCCAAAACTTGAGGAAGACAGGAAAAAGGTAAGACTTTTAATAGATTAATTAATTTGTCATAATTTTTTATTATTATTATTTGTAGTTAAAGCAGCAGAAAAATGAAATGGAGGCGAAGATGAAAGCAGCAAAGAAGAAATATGAAAATGTAAAATAAATAAAAAATGTTTTTTATTTATGCTGCATGCATGTATAGGCAAGAGCAACTTACTATAAAGCTGGAAACATGTATGAACAATTAAAACATAAGAAACCAGTGAGTGGAATAACTTAACTTTTTATTCATTTCTTCCTCGTTATCCTTTTTTCTTTTTTTACTGTTTTATGTCAATGTGGAATGCAAATATAATAATAATGCCAAAATACATGTACATACATGTACATGTAATTGAATTTTGTCCATTTATAAAAATTGGCATATTTTTGAAAAAATACACTGTACTATAGCTTATGGTTTAAGAAAATGCCAAAATTCTGAAAAATACCCAAGGCTATAGCCCATTGTTTTTCTTTGAAATGGCTCCAAAATCACCCCAAATTTTTATTACATTTTCTGATACATATTGATGTACTTATGTTATGTAGAAAGTTTGAATTGATTCTGACTTCAAATTTTAAAGTTATGATCATTTTAAGAAAATTCCAAAGTTATGAAAAATATCCAAGGCTATGTAGCCCATGTTTTTTTCCAAAAAGATGGCTCCAAAATTACCCAAAATTTTTATTACATTTTCTAATGCACATTGTTGTACTTGTGTTATTTAAAAAGTTCGAGCTGATTCTGACTTCAAATTTTCAAGTCACGTACGGCCATTTTAAGAAAATGCCAAAACTTTGAAAGATGTACCCAAGGCTATAGCCCATTTTTTTTCCAAACATTGGCTTCAAAATTACCCTTAATTTTTAATTATATTTTATGATACATATTAATGTCCTTATGCTATGTAGAAAGTTTGAGCTGATTATAACTAAAATTTTTTTGGATTATGGCAATTGTTACCATGTACTGTAACCCTTTTTGGAAAAAAATACTGGCTCCAAAATCATACCTACATGTACATGTAATTTTTATTAAATTTTTTGTACATGTAGTTGTATTTCTGAGTATCTCAATTCTTTTATTGTTTATCTATTTCTATGTAGTCTTATGATCGCAAAGTATTGGAATTAGAGAGAGACTTTCTAATGCAGGAAGACATGTAATTGTGCATACATTTAGATATAGTACACAGAACAGGATTAGAAACAGGATCACGTGAGCGCATTATCCATTGAAACACTCCTAGTTAGATTGGAGCCCTGAGCGGCTGCTGAATTATTGCAGAGGCACCGACTATCCCTTTTCAAAAAGTTTTTGAGACTCTAGCAACTACAGGAGACAGCAAGACACACTAGCATGAGCTTTTATGGTTACTTTTTGAGGATGCTTAGTGCATTAAGACATTTATTAGTGCTTGCACAAAAGTTTAAAAAGTTATAGCATGTTAAAACCAAAGGCCATATTTCATGGCGTCAGTACACTAAAACTATTAAACGTAGTCCATAACAAACATCACAGTGCACTATGAGAGGTTAAGAAGTAACCATAGGAGCAGATATTTAGTTATAAAACTGTCTGAAAAGTCCCAAGGTATTGTTAACAGTCACAATTGCCAGCCTCCATCGCAGCAAACTAGGAGTATTTCAATGCAAAATGCGCTCACTTGATCCTGTTTCTAATCCTGTTCTGTGTATTATATCTATAAATTATGATACATGTATATACATAAAAATCACAAACACTCCCTTTTTAATTCTCTTTTCTCCTCCACATGTACATGTACACTTGTAACATCACAAGCACTCCCTTTCCTCTCTTCTCCAGGTATACACAGTCTCATAGAGAGTTGGTCCACATCCAAGAGAGTATGAATTCAGAAGTCAATGAAGTCCTTAAAGTAATTCAATCTATTATCGTCAGAAACTCAGTGTGTGGGCCTGCGACTAAATTTTAGTAGGACAAAATCAATAAGGGGGTGGCAATTGCTCTCACCATTGCCATCTACATGTACATGTACATGTACATGTTCTAATGTGTAGAAAGTTTGAGCTGATTCCTATCAAATTTTCCCAAAATCCCTGTTCTATAGTAAATGGTCTTTGGTCAAATTTTATCAAAAATGACTAAAAAAGGATTCTCAATTTTTATAATTTTTCTGATAAATATGCATGTACACGCTCGTTTGTTGTGTGGACAGTTTTAGCTGATACAAATCAAAATTGATTTTTTAAATAAATTTTAAAAGTACATGTACATGTTGCTCTGAAACATGTACGTGCCATGATTTCAGCAACCATGGGTTGGTGTAATTCATATACAGTTGTACATGTATTATCCTGTATTTGATTATTGTAGAGAATCCAAGAGCATGAGCTAGAGAGAGTTAATAAAATTGCAAGATCACTTAAAGAATTTGCAAAGTATATCAACCATTACACTCTTCACTTTGCTTTCTCTATCTCTACTTCTTTACGCTCTCTCTCCTTCTCCCCTCCATTTTTCAATCAATTCCTTTAATTGTAATCCTCCTGTTTTGTCTCACTTTTTCTCTTTCTTTCTCTCTCCTCTCTTCCCTCTATCTCTCTTTTATCTTCCTCTCTCCAGGACTCTATCCAATACTGCTCCTGCCTATCTTGAGTGTATGCAGAGGATTGTCTTCAGTATTGATAAAGTGGATGGTTCTACTGATATTGAGTGTTTTGTGATGGAGCATGAGAGACTACTGGAGGAACCAGTCATCCCAACACTAGAACTTCACTCCTGCAGTGTGAGGATTAGTTATTGAATTAAGTAGATGTAGTTACTACATTGTACATGTGTATGTAGTAAAAAATACCAAGCTACCATGTATGTTCTACATGTACCTTAGAGTGACTTTTAATTGCGGGTACCAAATTTTGCGATTTTAGCATGAGGTAGATTTTTCTGGTATTAAAAATTGCAATTAAATAATTATTACTAATAGTTATATGGCATCATGGTGTCATTATTAATAATTATGCATATTAATAATTGCGATTTTAAACCCAAACGCAAAATTCGCAATTAATAGTACCCGTATTTAAAAGTAACCTTAAGGTACATGTAAGCAATTAAGCATTAAGTAAATGAAGTACAATGTACATGTAGTGCATATGTACTGTATGTAGATCTAGTTACCAAGTTACATGTACTAATTATCAGTAAATGTAAGTACATATACATGTATGTGATTAATAGTTGTCAAATATTAGTTAATACATGTAGTTAGTAAGTGGTTGATTATATTTTTAGTCCCGTTCAAATCGAAAAGCCAAAACCGAGAAGTCGTCTGACGATTTCAAAAATGAGGATGCTGACGACAAGCTCCAGAAGTCATTGACTGATTCTAAACCAGCCGTCGCTCCTAAACCATCCTCTACCACCAGTTCCTCTGCAACAGGTTCATCTACTTCTACAGTAACAGGTTTTCTGAAACCTACTCCGCCTCAGAAGAAATCATTCTTTAAATTCAAACCTACTCAAAGTGTCAAACCTGTAATTGCTACAAAGGAAACGACTGGCCCAGAACCAACTTCTGCTACAAAAACAGAATCTCCCAGTACCAATGATACTATAGTACCAACTACCACTGAAGTCATAGCCACTTATGTTAAAACCACACCCACTAGCACTGAAGCCACGCCTACCAGCTCTGAAGTTCCACCCACTGGTACTAAAGCTACTCAAAATAAGTCCCCTAGTAGAGAGAGATCTGTCACTACAGCAACCAATAAACCATCAAGAGCTGTCAAGCCACACACTCTATCCTCCCCTCCTCCTCCTCCTCCTCCTCAAAATACTAATAACGGCTCATTTTCTGAATCACAAGATTCTCTATTTGCTCAGTTGACACGTAAAACCAGACAAAGTGATTATTACGGACTGCTAGGGGTTCTACCCACGGCAGATCAAGAGGAACTCTCTCGGGCTAGAAGAGAAATAACTGTCAAACTTCATCCTGATCATTTTACTAACGACCCAATTAAACAAGAAAAGTAAATAAAAATATTTGCAATATGTCTGTTTTGTATTTAGTTTTTTTGCTGTGTTTTAATACTCCATTATTTGAGCAAAATGTGCACAACAACTTTAAAAACATTTCAGCCAGAAAGCCTTTATCATGAATATGATATATGATCATTTACATTTATATAGCTGATAGCTGAATTTTCTGTAATTTGCTCATGCATGTATTATTATGGGTTAATGTTTTTATTTTGTCCTTATAGGGCACAGGAAAGGTTGATAATCATTAATCAAGCTTACAGTGATGTGTTGAGTAATAAAACTAATAGGGAACTTTATGATCAGCTAGTCAGATATAGAGAGGTAGGATATTTGCAGTATAAACTTACTGTACATTTAGCATTTTTATCACAATTATTTATGTACATGTACATGCTCAAATTTAAAAAGCATTATTTGTATCTAATTTGTCATTATTGCAAACAAGATTTATCAGCAGTGTGATAACTGATAATTGAATGATTAATGATGCATGTACTTTCCATGCTAAACAACTTGTATCAATTATGTAATTATAATGTCAACTAAAAATTAATTTGTATTATTCAACAGAAATATCACAGGATTTTAGAGCAAACTGGCCCCTCATTGGATACAGCAAAAATGAAGTTGTCATCTCTTCGCTCTAGCATGAAGAAAGCAAGATTCCCTATGGCTTTATTGGAGGAATTACAACTAGCAATAAGATTAATAGAAGATAAGCAATTACAATTAGGAGCAACTCTTAACTAATACTCTCCATTTGTATGTGTAGCTATATCATTGTGTGATTTTCTATTATTATAATATTATTATTACTATTGTTGTTGTTATGATTGAATCAATGAAGATTTAGAAGATGTTTTGGTTTATAAATTATAATTATTTTGTATAAAAATATATTTAAAGTTAAATTCCAACTTGCTACCAGTGCATTCAAATTGAGAGCAATGTGTCACAGACCCAATAAAGCTACATAGAAAAGTGTGAGCTGATTTTAACCTCAATTTTTAGTTATGACCATTTTAAAAATGCCAAAAATTCTGAGAAATACCCTGTAAAGCCTATATGGTTTTTTTTTCTGAGAAATTGCTTCAAAATAACTCCAAATTTTATTACATTAATTTTATTGAGGTAGTAACAAATGTACTAACTATACTTGAGATTTAATACGTTTGCACATGTCATGCACATTGTTTCACTTCTTTAATCTCAAGTTGTATGTACATGTAGTTGAACTGGTTCAAGATACAATGAAGAAGAGTCAGCAAGATGTTCCTCATGTAAAGAAACCTAATATCACTGTTGCTACAACACAGTTACAGTAGGATGGGAAATAAAAGTAATAATAATAATAATGATGACATTGATGTCGTAATTTGAAAAATTGAAGTCAAAAATAGCTCAGTACATCAATATACATGTATATCACAAAATGTAATTAAAATTTGAAGTCATTTTGGAGCCATTTTTTGGAAAAACCATGAGCTATATAGCCTTGGGTGTTTTCTTAAAATGGCTGTAGCTTGAAAAATTAAAATAGAAATCACTTCAAACTTTCTACATACATGTAGCATAAGGACATCAATATGTGACCATAATTGACAAAAGGTACCTTATGGCGGGTAGTGAAATTTGTCTTTCTAGCCTAAGAAATCCAACTTCCTGAGCCCCATTTATCATAAAATTACTCCACAGGATGCAAAAAGTTACCATGAAACTTTTAGAAACAATGATTGTCTAACAAAGAACTCACAGGTTAATATTTTCCATTATAACGATCAATATTAAAATCCGCCATAAGGGCCCTTTTGTCAATTATGGTCACATATGTATCAAAAAAAGTAGTAAAATTTGTTGTATTTTTGGAGTCATTATTTTTGAAAAAAACATGGGCATTTTTAAAATTGTGGCACTTTTTAAAAATGATCATAACTCAATAATTGAAAATCAGAATCTTCCTGCAATCTTGGACTAAAATTTCGTCAAAATTAAAAAGAAGAGGATTGTCAATTTTTATAATTTTTCTGATACATTTTGTAATAAAGTTGATTTCAGTTTTGATGCTGTAGTGATACTGCCATTGAAGTTACAACTGTCACAGTAATTAATAATAATCTAAAAAAGAAACATGGAACTTATCAAAATAACTATTCATGTACTTGCTGATGTATTTATGATAATTCTTATCATGCCATAACATGCAAATTTTAGTGTTTTGATGTTAAAGTGTCAGTTTGTAGTTGAAGTGTATTAATTACTGGTGTCACTTCTATAGAGTCTATTCACACTATTGGCATCAATATAAATTAGCCTAAAGCTGGCAAGACATGTTGCAGTATGATAATATTGACATGTAAATGTTTCTATGACATGTACATATTAAAACAATGGACCATTGTCATCAGTAGCCAGTATCTATAATACAGAGGTACATACTGACTGGAATAGTTATTCATTTTATCATATACTAAAGGTCATATAAGAGACTATACTAGATATCAGCTACTGAATGATGAATGCCTTTCAGTGTTTGGTCCTTGTTGCTGCTATTGGATTCATCATTACTACTGATGCTCGAACAGACACTTGCTACAGTAATGCAAATTGCAAGTCTGGGACTAATGTAACTACAGTAAGTTCAGTGATATATCTTACTACACCATCAGGATAGTAACGGTGGGCTGTAGGATAAAGGGTCACTGCATGAAGTCAAAAAACAGTCTAACACCTGTACATTTACATGTACAATACATTGGAGATCCTTTTAGAGTTTTTCATAATTTTCCAAGCCAAGCCTATAGTCCACTAGCTATACTCAATGATAATAATTATTTATCTTATTATAGTCTAGTGACTGCTGTAGTATTGATGGAATCAAATCTTATTTGGTATACACTATGGGTGGTCCAAGGTGCCACAATTGCTAGTAGCTAAGAGGAAGAAGCTCTGAGAAGGAAAGACTCTGTACTAAATAAATATTTGCAATAAATAAAATAATTATATAAAATAATCTTAGCTATTTCAAACTTAATAATAATTATAGTTACATAAAAAAATTATTGATAATTTTTGATGGATACAGCCACATGACTACTGACTGCAAATTAAGATACACTGTTCATAGCCATACTCTAGCTATGTATCTTCATATACTTATCAGTATTGATACTGCATGGTTACTGATGACAATGGTCCATTGTTTGAATATGTGCATGTGATAGAAACTTGTACATGTCAATCATATATGCATACTGCAACATGCCTTGCCAACTTATGAATAATCTCTATAGAAGTGATGATAGTAATTAAGTGTCTATACGTCTTTAAATTCAAAAGTATCACAAATAAAGGTTGCATTAGTAATCAAAAAATGCAGTTTGTGGGTGAGTGTATGTTGTAATGTCCTTCAGTTTTGTTGCTGCAATGTACACTTTAATATTCCATAAATAACTGTACATTATTTGAGGGCATTATGCACAACAACAAGTAAAAAAAGCCTTTATCATCAATAAAACTATATGACCATTTATACAGCTCACAGCTGATGAAAATCTTTAGGTTGAAATTGTATAATTCCCTAAAATGCATGTACATGTACATACCTTATGGGTTAATGTTTTCATGTTTGTTTTTTTCAGGGCACAGGAAAGGTTGATAATCATTAATCAAGCATACAATGATGTGTTGAGTAATAAAACTAACAGGGAACTTTATGATCAGCTAGTCAGATACAGAGAGGTAGGATATTTGCAGTATAACATTGTTCATTTAGGATTTTTATCCCAATTATTTATGTACATGCTCAAATAAAAAATTATTTGTATCTAATTTTTGAATACTGTATATAAAAAAAGAATTTGATAACTACATGTCCTTTCCATGCTAAATGTACATGTATGTCAATTAAAATTTGTATCTTTTGACAGAAATATCACAGGATTTTAGAGCAAACTGGCCCCTCATTGGATACAGCAAAAATGAAGTTGTCATCTCTACACTCTAGCATGAAGAAAGCAAGGTTCCCTATGGCTTTATTGGAGGAATTACAACTAGTAATAAGATTAATAGAAGATAAGCAATTACAATTAGGAGCAACTCTTAACTAATACTGTCCATGTGTGTATAGCTGTATCATTGTGTGATTTGCTATTATTATTAATTTATTATTATTATTATTATTATTATTATTATTATGTTGTTGTTGTTGTTGTTGTTGTTGTTGTTGTTATGATTGAATCAATGAAGATTTAGAGAATGTTTTGGTTTGTTCGATCATTTTCAATTATTGTATAAAACTATAAATGTAGAAGGTTAGCATAGTCCAAGGATAATAAACTTTTTAAAAGTTGAATTCCTATGTATATAGGTAGGAGCAGATCACTGGGAATCAAGAAGTAACTATCCTAACTACACCTGTAACTACCAGTGTAATCAAATTTATCACAGACCCAGTACAGCTAAGTAGAAAGTTTGAGCTAATTTTGATCTACATTTTTTGAGTTATGACCATTTTAAAATAATGCTACAGTTGTAAAAAATACCCTGTACTATAGCCCATGGTTTTAATATTAATAGGCTCCCAACTTTTTATTTCATTTCTGGTGTACATTGATGTAGTACATGTATATAAAATGTAGTAATTAATTTTTGATAATTGATACTCTCTATTTAATACTATCAGCAAGATGATCCTCATAAAAGGAAGCCTGCATGATATCACTGTTGCTAAGATGCAGCTAGGATGGGAACCAAAAGTAATAATAATAGTATATAAAACAATGGCAATATTGCTAATGTTGACTTCGTAACTTGAAAAATTGAAGTCAAAATCAACTCAAACTTTTGCATAGCATAAGTACATTAATATGTATCAGAAAATATAATAAGAATTTAATGTGATTTTGGAGCCATTTTTTTAGAAAACCATAGGCTATATCCTTAGGTATTTTTAGAATTATGGCACTTTCTTAAAATGGTCATAACTCAAAATTGGAAGTCGGAATCAGCTCAAACTTTCTACACAGCACAAAAAAATCAATATTATGTATCAGAAAATTAAAAAAGTTTTGGGGTGATTTTGGAGCAATTTTTAGGGAAAAAAACCATGGGCTTTAGCCTTGGGTATTTTCAGAAATATGACAATAAAAAATTTTTGTAACCCAATAATTTGAAGTTGAAATCTCCCTGTACTATAGTACACAGTTTAGCAGTAGCCTATAGTTGTGTGTGGATAATTACCATGCTTTTGGGTAATATATGCAGTGGTGTAGGATTTTTTACGACACCAGTTTGCAAGTACCCTCTTGTTTTTTTACTTTTTTCCAATTTAATCCTACTACTTTTCCATTATTTAATGTTTTTTATTTATTGTTATACTAAACGTCATTGTAAGAGAATATGAAATACTGTAGTACATTTCAATCTTATGGTACTGCAACATGTCTTGCCAGCTTTAGACTAATTAATATTGGTGCCAATAGTGTGAATAGACTCTACAGAAGTGACACTAGTAATTAATTCACTATAACTACAAACTGACAC